CTATGGAAGCAGAAATAGGAAGGAAAATTAAAGAAACAGAAAAATTAATACAAGATGCAGATAAACTGGTGAGAGATAGAAGTAAACTATTAGAAAGCAAAGAGGAAGTGAGTGAAGGGGAGGAGTCATCATTTGATAAAGGAACATGGGGACAGGGAAGAGAAAAGGGAAGACTTAGACCACTGGCTGCACAATTCCCAATTTTAATTAAGGGTACACAGGGACAGTATGTCCCCTGGGCCTCACATGACCTTGAGGGGCTGGTCACTCGCCTCCCAGACATCCATGAGGGGGCTGGGAAGTGGATTAAGGTGTTTGAAGAAGAAACTATGGGCAAACTTTTAGCTGTGGGGGACATTAAAGCACTGCTGGCAAAGACTATAGGAGGGGCAAAAATGGAAGAAATTCTTCAAGCATCCAATCTGGACAGAGCTGTGGACTCTCACTACATGGATGGAACTGTTTTTGATGCATTCCGTCCAGCAGTGTGGCAGGCACTGCGTGCTGAGTACCTGATCAGACTAGACCCTAAATCATTAAAGGGAGAACAGCTGGGGGAATCAGAAAATCCAACTACATATGTCCAGAGACAGCTGAAAAGATGGAAGCATGAGACTGAAGGGAATCCAGAAGGAGACCCATTAATGGCAACATTGTTTAGAAATGCTGTGATAGATGCCATTAGCAGGTTGGAGAACGTGGTCGGCTTAAACTCTAAAACACACAAAGAGTTCTTTGACCATGTATCTCATGCAGTGGAGCAGTACAGAAAAAAAAACCGAACAGAAGCTCAAAAACCAAGAGAAAGAGCTACAGAGAAAATTTACTCAGTTACAACTTGAAGAACTGACCAAAAAGAATAAGAAAAAGATTCAAGCTTCAGTAAAGAATGACGAATCAGAACAAATGACAGTGATGTCTCCAGTAAATACTCCTCCACCACCTATTCAGCCAAGCCCCCCTGCAGCAGCCCATCCAAATGCACACCAGATCCCTTTACCAATCATCAGAGGCGGACAGTAACTAAGTACATTTACTTACTATACTTTCACTCAAGTAATGGAGTTGAGTACTTTGTCCGCCTCTGCCAATCATTAATGTCTATACTCAACAACCAGGGCCAATGGGATGGAAAAGAAAACCAATACAAAGAGGACAGAGAGGAAGAGGCAAGCCTTATACTGGTCCTCCAGGAGTGTGCTGGGGATGCGGACAACCTGGGCATAATAAGAATGACTGTCCCACCAATCCATGGCAACAGCCACCTAGGGGTGGAAGAGGGGAGAGTTGGCAGCAGCCCTCCCGGGGTCCATTACAGGGCCCAGTAAACCCTTGGGGAGGTCCAAATCAAGGATATTAGGGGTGCCCAGAGAATCTTACAGGGGAGAGTCAGCTTCCAATTTTAACAACTAAAGCTGATCAAGAACCAGTTATGCAAATTGAAATAGAGGGAAAGACAACACCAATGATGGTAGACACAGGAGCTGTTTATACTTGTGTGAATTCAAATTATGCCTCACATCTCCCCTTGTCTGGAAAATTCGCAAAGACAATAAGATTCTCGGGACAAACGCAGCTAATTCCAATGACAGCTCCAGTGTGTCTACAAACCAAAAATAAAAGTGTAGCCATACCCATTCTTGTATCAAATCAGACTCCTGTTAATTTGGTAGGGAGAGATGCATTATGCAGCAAAAACAGCTTCATTAAGAGAAATCATGAAACTTGCAGGACTGCAACATTTAGGTAATCCATTAAAATGGAACATAGATGCATTAATAGCATTTGAGACTATAAAAAAGAACTACAAAAGGCCCCTTCCCTCGGAAATCCTGAATACAATAAACAATTTCATCTGTATGTCGCAAATAGAGTTGATGGTTATGCATCAGCTGTATTGATGCAAGAGACTTGTAGTGGAAGGAAAAAACAGCCTATTGCTTATTACAGTACAAAGTTGGACATTGTAGCACAAGGTTACCCACCATGTTACCAACAAGGCTTTGCAGCAGTATACTATGCATATGAGAAAGCATCTACCATAACCATGGGGTACCCAGTAACTATTTATACTCATCACAAAATTGTGGAGTTAATAGAACAAGGAAAATTTGTTCTAACTCAAGCCCCAATTCTAGCCTATTCGTCGCTACTCACGTATCCAGATGTTACTATTAAGCGATGTCATACAGCTAATCCAGTTGAATTAATTCCTTTGGCTTTTGAAGGAAAGCCCCATGATTGTGTGACTGATTCATTTGCATTTACCAGATTACGGCCAGATCTTGAGTCTACACCAATCCCTAAAGCAGAAGTCTCTTACTTCGTTGATGGTTCTAGCTTTAGAGATCATGTAGGAAATCATACAGGATATTCAGTAGTAAAGAAAGACAAGGAAGAATTTGTACCTGTGATATCACAACATTGTGTACAACCTTGCTCTGCTCAATTAGCAGACTTAAAAGCTCTCACAGCTGCATGTCAATTAGCAAAAGGACAAAGAGCCAATATTTTCACTGATTCAGCATATGCGCGTGTATGGTGTATGTCACTTGTTTGGAGCAGTATGGAAGCAAAGAGGTTTTTAAAAAAGTGACGGGACTCCCATACAACATGCTGAACAAATAGGTAAATTAATTTTTGCTATGATGATGCCAAAACGACTAGCAATAATCAAGTGTCAGGCTCATAAAAAAGGAAATGATTACATCATTAAAGTAAATAATGCAGCAGATTTGGAAGCTAAAAAAGCCTCAGGGTGTCCGGTAGCAGTACTAACACCTGTAGTACTTATAGAACCTCAACCTCAATTGGACGATATTATTCGAATTCAACAGTAAGCAGGCCCTTATGAACATTCTATGTGGCACCAAAGAGGAGCCAAAAAAGACACACAATACATCTGGCGTACACATGAAGGACAAATTGTTGCACCAACTTCACTTTTGAATATTCTCATTTCAGATGCACATGGTTTTGAAAATTAAACAGCAAGGATATTGGTCTCCTTATTTACATGCATTTGTAAATGAATATTTGTCCACATGTGAAATTTGTGCCAAAAACAATGTGAGAAAAGGAATAACAACACCAATAGGCCATATACCAGTACCAGAAGGACCATTTAAGCATCTGGTAATGGATTATGTGGATATGATAAAGCGAGTACAAGGCAAAAGGTACATGCTGGTGATCATAGACAGATTTCGCAGATGGGTGGAGGCAGTACCATCAGCAGATCAGGGAGCAGAAACAGTAATTAAATTTCTAACAAGAGAAGTAATTCCAAGATTTGGAATACCATCAGAAATAAGTTCAGATAATGGATCGGCATTCATACAAAAAACTGTAAAACAAGTACTGCAACAATTGAGAATAAAGCAGAGACTAGGGTGTGTCTACCATCCAGAATCACAAGGGATCGTAGAGAAACTGAATGGAACCCTCAAGGCCAAACTTAACAAAATATGTGAAAGTACTAATCTTAACTGGATTGATGCTTTACCTCTTGCACTAATGAGTTATCGCATGTAAACTAACAGGAACACTCACTTAACACCGCATGAAATGCTAACGGGTCGACCCATGCCTGTGCCATATTGTAGAGGTCCCTACAAAGGACCTCCTCTAGAGCAATTGCAAATGGAACTTCGATCTTATATGAAGAAATTAACTGCCATACATAAAGCTATCTATTTACAGGAAACAAGAAAAGAGCCCTGTGAGGAAACAGAGACAGAATGTCCAATTGTTCCAGGTGACCAAGTATATCTGAGGGTATTCCGGAGAAAGTTGAATGAGCCCAGGAGAGAGGGACTCTACAAAGTCGTGAGAGCTACTCCAACTGCAGTCCAAGTGGAGGGAAGTACAACCTGGTATTATCTCAACCACTGTACGAGAGTTCCCAAAATAAGGACAGAAAGAGAAAGGAACAGACAAGCAGATAACTCAGGAGAAAGTGACGAGGAAAGACCAGTGACACAAGATGAAGTGAAAACTGATGAAAGCTCAAAAAAAGATCCACAAGGAGCTCACATTCTCCTGTCAGACAAACAGGAGAGGAGAAAGAATGAGTCTGACCACATATCTGATGATTATCACATGCCTAATGCAGCTGTAGCCAAAAGCACCCAGACTTCCCTAGAATCTACTTTCACCCCCTCAGTTGAATCTAGCATTGGCTTTGACTTCATCCAAACAAAACAAGAACTAGATAAGGAGGAAAAAGTATCTAGACAAAATAGACACATTGTAAATGACAACCATAATATTACTGTAGCGTCTCGACCAATCTGACACACAAATT